TATTTGTTTTTGTAGTTTTCGTTGCATTCACAATTTTTTTTTTTTTTTCGTAGCCCCTGTATCCATCACTGTGTATTTGATTGAAGTCGAAACAAAATAAAAACTCATTTTCGCTTTATATTCATGATTGTTATTTCACTTTTTTCTGTTGGCTTGGTTATGCGACGCTGTCATCTTTTTCTTCACTGCTCTCCAAGTTTATTTTTAGTTTTGTTGTTTGGCAATAAGGGGCCAAGCTGAAAAAACCGGCAACGTACCAAGAGTCCAATAGTAAAAAATACAGAAGAAACAGCTAAGATAAAAACAAAAAAATCCAGATGCAGAGGCCAAGAAAAAATTTGCCGTAAAAAAATATGACAAAAACAACATTAATGCTGTTTTTGTTTTAAACGGACAGCAAAAAATAACAAATAAATCAATGGAGTCAATAAACGTTTAAACGCCATAAAAACAAATAAAAATATATAAAAGGATTTTGAGAAATGGGAAAAAATCGCGAAAATTTTGAAAGTAAATTTTTAAAGAAATAGGATATGGATTTTCCATTTCAATAATATTTTTTTATATACAAAAATTACTAGCAATCACTTCCATTTTGTAGGAAACAATTAAAAAAAAAACTTGAATTTTTAATACCCATCTTCCTCAATTTTAATTATATGTCATAATCGATTTATAATAATATCGCAAATTAAAAGAAAATTGTGTTTTTAAACAATTATTAAGCCGCATCTTTTTCTAAAATTCATTAAGATTTAATCAACAAAATAATATTTTGCCTTCGGCTTCAATGAAGATGTTTTCTTTAGATCTTCAGCTTCTCTGTAAAGTTCATCAAAAATTGCCAATCATCAACAAGTTTTGATTTATTATTGTTTTTTACTACATCTGTGTTAGTTAATAATTTGTTTATAAAACGTATTAAGTTTTTTTTTCAAACCGGTTTGCTAGACTGCAAACTTTGTAAAAGAGAATAAACAAAGAAAGCAAGGCAATAATTCATTCATAAAGAATGTTCTCCACATTTATTGATTTCATGACCAAATCAATGACGTTTTGGTATTTCGTTTTTTACCCTCTTTCCGATAATGAAATAAATAACGAAATCAAAGGTTTTTAAGTGAGTCATTTCTTCTCCTCTCCAAAAATTCCAATGAAAAATTAAGCACCTTATCACGTCTGCCACATGTGTGGAACTTTAATACTCCATATAATATGGTACAGTAGGTTCTGATCATTGCTTTGAATAATCTGGCCCCAATTGTCCAAAATTCATTACATATTTTTAATAAATAACATTTTCCCAGATAACATAACCTACAATCAAAAATATAAATATTTTTCATTTAACTCAATTGTTACACCCATAATAACAAAAGGCAGTACGTACAGGTTGTAGCTTGTTCATTCAAGAGAATTAAAACTTTACTCTTTGACAAACAAAACTGCTGTATATCACAAAGAGAAAAAGAGAGCATGCATAACAGATCATTACGTTTTCCCATTCCCATTTGGGAAAGAGAGCGAGAGCTCACCGTGTGACTTGATAATTACTGTTGACTGATTGCCTTTTGTTACCTCTATTGATTTGTTGGCCACTTGAGAGTGTGAGAGTCAGATAGTGTGTGCGTGCATGAGTCGCTGTGCAAGCCCAGTTGATTTTGAACACTCTTTTTGTTCCTACCATTACCCCTTTACTTGAGAGCTTGCCGACTCTTGTTATCATCAACCAACAATACCTGTTTTGTGGTATTTATCTACTAATGTCGTTGGTGTTGTTGTTGTTGCTGGTGTACAGGTAAAGCACACAATAACACCACGAATATTTCGTTTGCATTCCTATTGTTGATTGCTGTAAGTCAAGCATAACACCAGAATTCTCTTGGCTGCTCTTTACTCAAACTTGGAGAACTCTGTTGTTTGCTAGAGAGGTTCTGTGTGGAGTTCTTTAATCGGTCAAATGGAAAAAAAACGATACAAAGTTTACACTAGGCAACAGGGAATAAAATAAGTAAAATAATAAATTTATAAAATTAAATGGGAGGCAATGATAAAAATATTTAAATAAAATTAAATTACAAAAATAAATTGAGAATAATATAAATTTACAATTAAAATAAATATTAATAAAGAAAATCGGTTAAAAATTATATAAAAGGCTGATATAGAAAATAAATAAAAAAAAATGATTGGGAAAATTTTAAAAAATATTTTTTAAGCATTAGTTTTCGATTTTTTAGTATAAAATTCCAATAAAAAGGGAAACATATAAAATCAAGATTTAAAATTATACAATATAGTAATTAAAATAAATATTCATAAATGACATAATTTTTATTTAAAAAATCAAATAATTTTCTCTGTGAAATTAGAAACATTTTCTCGAAATGATTTTTTTTAGAAAAATAAAAAATCCTTAGAATTCACTTCCATATATTACTGATCTCTTAATTTTTTTTGTCCAATTAAATTTCTTTGAAAAAAGTTAAACTTCCTGACCTATACCTCTAAATTTTCAAAATCATTTTTTTTTAATTAAAAAAAAAACGTTATAAAAATTAACATTTACATTCCAAAAACGTGGCTCAAAGCCATGCACATAAGTATGTGAGGATGTGTACGTGTTTGGCTGGTTGACTGGCTAGCAAATGCGTTTGGCGACAGAGCCTCTTCCTTTTTTTGTTCCAACACAGACTGACTGGACTTAGGCTTAAACACCACCGCCACCACCATGACTTCAATGACTGCATATTTCTCATAATACAGGTGGTAACGGAAATCAGATGGTTGCACATCATACCATAGAGAAACAAAAAAAGAAAAAACAACAACACGTTTGTGGAATGTTTAATGATGCAAGACGAACGAGCCGTCCCGACCATCCAGTCTGTGGTGTTGTTGTGTTGTAGACATAGAAAACCACTTCACAAACTGAAATGCCTGCCACAACAAGTTAATGTTGCACTCACAGTTACAAGTGCCGTTTTACTGGCAACAACAACGCCAGCAAATAATGCAAAACAAAAGGATAACCACCAACATCACATAAAAAAATACCACAAACAATCCTCTAAAGTGTTTGGCATTAATGTGTGAAAGTTATGCCTTTGGAATTTTTAAATATTTCAATTGAAATTCAAGAGATTTTCGATTGGATTTGTTGCGGGGGTTCCAACTCCCAAACAAAAGATGTAATTATCATACGAATTAATTAGTATTGGTGATTGTCAACGGCGATAAAAATTAAAATTATAAAAAAAATCATTGTTTACTTTGAGGATAATTGTTTGAGAGAGAACTCCACACACACACACACACACCTGTTTTGATCACCTACCGGAAATTGGAGAAATGCCAAGAGAATATAAATAATATTGAAAAATATTTTTTTTTGATTCTTCAAAAAGAGATAAAGAATTATCAATTAGACATTTTTTAGAGAGGGTGTTTTTTTATTACAGAAATGTGTGACTGATTAAAATTATACTAAACGTGTTTTGAAATTTTGAAAATTTGTTTTTTTTAGTACTGAATTGGAAGAGAACGTCAATGGTCATAGGAAATATGATCAGCAAATAGTTTCAGTAAATTTATTCTAGAAAAATTGATAAAATATTTCAAATTGGTGATATTTTTATTAAAAAAAATAGAATTATTGATTTTTTTTTATTTTTTTAATAATACTTTTATAAAAAATTATTAAAGATTTTTTTAATTTTTTTAGAATATTTTTAAAGAAAAAAAAATGTTGAACAAAAAAAATTGAACAATATTTTCAGTACATTTATTCGAAAAAAAAACTGATAAAATATTTAAAATTGGTGATATTTTTATAAAAAATATTGAAGTTTTTTTTTAAAAAAATATTTAAAAAAAAATCTTCAATGATTTTTTTATATCGAAAAAATGTCATCAGTGATATATTTTTACACCAAAATATTCATTCTTCGTCAGTGATATTTTATTATCGGAGATATATTTTTATACAGAAATATTCATCCGCGATTTTTTCTAAAAATATTTGATCAGTGACATTTCTCTTTATAGAAAATTATAATCAATGACAATTTTTCTATATAGAAAAATATTTTTTTTCATATAAAAACGTCAGTTATATTCCTCTATGTAGAGAATGATCATCAGCAATAATATTTGTATATAAAAATATAATTTGTGATATTATTTTATACAACTATATGTGACTTTTTTTTCAACACCCAATTTTCCATCACTATTTTGAAATGCACATTTGCTTCAATACGTCTGCAAATAAAACAAAATAAAGTTTAATATACCAAAAATTGTTTACTTATATATACGAAAAAAACCATATACATAGCTAAATGTTATTTGTTATTTAGAGGATTTCAATTTTTGTTATTTGTCGAAAAAATACAATTTATTTATATGTGTGTGTGTTTATTTTATCCATTACAATTTATTTAGTTAAATAAAATTTCTTTCAATAACATATCCCCCTCACTCTCTCTCTTTACAGCTCTACACACATGTCCCGTGCATTTATGCGCTGCAACAACATCATCATCATCATAACTAAACATTTGACAACTAATTCAATATAGAAAAAATCAGGCTTTGATTTCGCGTGTTGTCGCGCCGTCACATCCATCCAGCCCACCTTAGCAACATCATCACCACAAATTGTGCAATTTATTTCGCAAAAAAAAAAAACTAAAAAAAGAAAAACCAATTGAAAATTTTCCAATTTATTTGCATAAAAGCATACAACAACAGCAACACTCTAGCTCGTCACTCATGTTGTTGCTTGTTTGATTTTATTTTTATTTGGAAAAAAATAAAACTTACCTGATTCCGGAAAATTGCAAAAGTAAATAAAGTGCAGAATATTTTTCTGATATTTATTTCTAAACGCGGAAAATTTGCCAATATCAAACAAATTGATTGTTGGTACGAAATATCAAAAACAAAATAGAAATCTAGTTAAAAATAATAACAACACCACAGACAACATTAAACTCAACAACAGCAACATCAAAAGCAGCAGCATGGGGCCCATAGGCAAACTAAAACTGGGCCAAAATCCATTGGCCAAAACCACAATAGCAGCAGCGGCAGCAGTATTTATTCTTATGAATTTTATCGTAATAGGTAAGTGGAAAATCTTTATATCTTGTAAACTAGATTTAAGGGGACCCCCCCATTCTCGGGGTCAAAATTTTTGTTGACTTAATTCCAATCTACACTAATTCAAAAATGTCCCTGCAAAATTTCAAGTAAAAATCTCAAGAACTCTTGAAGATATAACCGATTTATTGTGTCAGCATCAAGTGACGGCTGAAGGGCTTCTCAAACTTTAAACGCGTTTTTCTCTAAACATTTTTTTGCGAATGGCGGGCACGATAACTCAAAAACTAATAACCCAATCGATTTCAATTTTTTACACGTTTCTCTGTGAGTGTATATCTATCGTATGAACTAGGATAAAGCCAATCGGTGAAGATCTTCCTTATTTTTTAACTTTGATTTTGGTAAAAAATTGGCGATTTTTCAAATATATTTTTTTCAAAGGTCCGCCATTTTGTTAATTTTAGAGCGAAGTCAATAATCCTAGTTCATACGAGAGCCAGACATGTACTCTTTCTAACACCGTTGGAATTTTCGGATTCCGATGTTCCAGTGAGGAGTTATCATGCCCGCCATCAAAAATAAGGAGTTTTCTTTGATCACAAAAAACAACAACAAAATTTTTTTGTAAATTATTTTTCTTCCTTTTTAAATCTTCAAATATATATGTGCAAAGTTACAAACCTTAACAAGCATTGGTATTCATTTACCAGCCCATTTAAAATCTTAAAAATAAAAAATTGAGAATGGGGGGGTTCCCTTAAACAAATCGACCCGCTGTAATTTGAGATTTTTTCAAAGCCATAATTTAACAACACGAAGCTTTTGATTTTATTTTGATGATAGGCAGTTAATTTCAAGGCCTATGTTATGAAATTAATAACAAAATGGGCTATAATAATATTGGAAATTTATTAAAAGTCGTTAGCATGAGTGCATTCATATTATGGGATCTTATGACGGTAATAAATGGAAAAAAATGTTTGAGGAACAAATTTAGTTCCATAAGAAAAAAAATTAATTTTTTCCCCAAAAATGTTCTCTAAAAAAATATTTTTACATTTCTTTGTAATTTCTTTTAATGTGGATTTGCATGAAATTTTTCTTTGGTAGTAACACCTGTCTTTGCAATACACCTCACAAGATTTTAGGCAGCATCAATTTGTCACATGTTAGGGGATTATTTATATATACTACCTTAAAAGTTTTATTGTTTCGAAAAATTTTAAACGCCAGTTAGATAATTATCTTTACGAAATCACAGTAGACTTTATTAAGCTCTTTGACACTTGCTATCATTATGATGACTTCAAATTAAATTTTATTAACAACAAATGGTGTTTAACAAACAAGCAAAATATTTATCTAAAAAATTAGGCAATTTTTTATGATAGTGGTTTTGAGAAAATCTTATGAAATATTTCCTAATTATCTAGGAAATATTTCGTAAATTTTACCAACAACAAAAATGCTAAATAGCACATCATAATTATCATCGTCACCAAAATTATAACATCCATCACAAGACTTCCAGTTTCATTTCATCTTGGCGATAAGATAGGGAAATTATTAAAATATTTGCTAAAGACTTAATTAAATTGCAACTAACAACACCAAGATAGATAATGTTAAGCAACAAGAAGAAGAAGGTAAAATAAACATTGTAAAGTGGAAAAAAATAAAATATTCCAAATGAAGTGAAAAAGTAAAAAAGCAAATCTTAATATCTATGATTACACATTGCCAGTTTATGGCAGGGAGAATAACAACTGGCTGGGAATAATAAAAAAAATTTACCCAACAACAATTTGGCCCAGAAACATACAAATAGAAAAGTGGTGTTGTAAGTTTGTCTCATGATGCGAAAATACACTGAGGGAATAGATGTGGTACAAAGGCAATTGAAACTAAAAAATTAAGAAAATTGCATCAACATAGGGTTCATGCATTATTTGTCATCACAATGTAATCGATTTGGTAATAAAACATGGGCTTCATCCATTATTTTTCATCACAATGTAATTGATTTGGTAATGATATTTTTTTAGTTCCGAAATCAATGAAATAAATACAAAGCTAGGTTTAGAGTTGGTGTTTAGGTTTTATAATAAAAAAACTCAAATCAAACCAGGTATAAAAAACCTAGGCAAATGCCATGCCTAAGTTTTGGGTTCTTTGATTACTTTTCATCAAAATGTAATGGGTATGATAATGCTAAATGTAGTTGACCAAAGGAAAAAGGGAGAATTAAATATGTACAAAGGATATATTGATAAATTTTTAAACACAAAATTCATTCCCACTTTACCATGGCATTTATACAAATGTAATATTTTATTATTTATCATCAAACAGTAATGAGTCAGGTAAGCGGTTTCTAGTAAGGCACACAGATAATGAAACAAATAGTTCATGTTTTTGTATTCTTCACTATTTAAGAAGTTTACCTCGAATCCCCAGCATAAATGTTTTCCCACAAATTCCCTGCCACTTTTTTCTTGTAGTTAAAAGTGAAAATCCTATAAATTTCTTAGGAACTTAAACACCAAGTTGTTTTTTTACGCAAATCTCTTCTTTTTGTAACAGCTTCTCTTTTTTATGACAGTGTTTAATGCAATATTTTACTGTCATGTGGATGAGATGACGATGATGTTACTGCTGCTGTTGTTGATGGCATCTTGCTATTCCTATGAATTTCCATTTTCAAGCAGAATTGAAAGTAAAGCTCTCTTTAGTAATGAATACCTTTTGCGAGTCTTTTTACTTTTCTATGTCATTCCCAGCAAAGCTGCGATGCTAATCATGGGAACCTTCTTTACATGGGACCATGTTGATTTTTTTTTTATAGAGGTAGTCAGTCAGTTTTTTAGCCTTTCCTGTTATTCACAAACCAAGAAAAAGTTGAACAAGAAGAGCTAAACAAAAAACAAGTCAAGCTTATTTCCGTTAATAGCTGACAACAAATTGCAACATTTTTTTTTTATTTTTAATTTTTTGCTTGTCATGCCTTTATCTCTATTAACTCTTTTTAACAGGTTTAATTACAAGGCATGATTTTTGTGTTGTTGTTGTTTTAGATGTCTTGTTGTTTTTATTTTCTTCTTAAGAAAATTTCACTCATAAAAAGGTCCGTAACATAGAAATTATGAAAGTTATTTGTTTTATGATTTCCCCGAAACCGTGTTAGGGCCATTTAAACTTTGACCCCCCACTTTGAGCACATGACTCAACTTACTGACCTGTTTTTCTTTTATTAAAAGTAAGATGTAAAAATTAATTGTTTTAAATAAAAAATACTAATAAAATATGGGACAATAAAACAAAACGCTTTTCTTCAAAAAGAAAATAACAAATATAATTTTCTTTTGAGCAGGGTCAACAGTTTTGAGGAATTGACCTTTGACAAACAATTCAGAAAAATATAAAGGAAATAACCGAATTTTCTGAAATTAACTGTCAGTTATTGAAAATTCCATAAAAACGATCTCGAGTGAGTGATTTATTTTCGTATAGAAAAATTCTTCAATTCTTCGATATTGTTTTTCAAATATAAAAAATATCAGTAATAATATTCATATACAAGATTTTTTCAATGATATTTTAGTGATATTTTTCATGTAGATTTCTATCAGTCAGATACATGAATCGCTTATTTTGAAAGTGGTTTAAGTCCATTTTAGCTATGTATTTTCCTTAAAAAAAAATTATTCCAATTTTTTCTGCTCCCACCCCTCCCATCTTAGTATTTCCCTTTGTTGTTTTTTTTTTTTTCAAAAATTACAAATATTTTGTAATTTCTTTCTAACATGACATCATTTGTAAATTATCACAACTTCATTAAAATTCTTTTTTGGGGAAAATATTTTCTCAAACAAAAAGAAACATATTTATTTAATTATGCACAATTAATAAAACGGGGAAAGACTACAGACATCCATCCTCCCCCTTCATTCCAAAGACATTTCAATCATAAAAAATGTGCATATTGTGTGCATCTGTGGCAAACCCCAAAATTGGGGAATGAATGTCCCATCAAAAATTAGAAATATTTGTATTCATGTCATAAACTTCAAAATTAAACAAATATTTAAAATAAACAAGCCACAGAAAAATATTTCAAATAGCAAAAAATAAAATGTTTAATGAAAGACCAAAGGCAAGGGGAGAGGTTTAATGCTGCTCCACAGAATACAAATACAGCTGGGCATTTTACCACACACACACACACGATTGAAAATACCAACTGAGGGGGGGAATAAAAGTCATTGCATTTCAATAAAACATAAGGAAGATGACGTCTTCTTCTTCTTTTTATTGTGGTTGTTCTTGTTGAGTGTTTGCATATTAAATATACTTTTTTCTAATGAACCATTTGAAAGCTATTTGTTTACATAAAATGACAATTAAAGCTTAAGCATGGCATACCAGATGCCTATTTTTCCCTCCCATCCACCTCCCTCCCCGCTTTAGGAATGCATTTCGGAAAAGATGCTTTAACCAACCATGCCACCAAGGGTTGGCATGTGGTATGGGATGTTATTGGTGGTTGTTGTCGTTTAACCCATTATTCTTTTAAGTGCAAGTTGTCATTCTATTTCCCCATTATGATCTATGAATTTTTATGACCTTATTTATAAAATAGAATTGGTGGAAGAACATGAAGAAGCAGAAGAATTCCCTTAACAACACTACAAAAGATGAATAGAAAAAACGTTGAATATACAAAATATGAAAAAAGATGAGAATAGCATCATCTGTTACAAATGTTGGCTAGTTTGTGTGGTAATGGAGATTGCAGACAATCGAGAGTTTGGGGGCATGCAATCCAAAGTTAGAAAAAAAAAATAGAACAGATAAAATGGAAAAATATTCCTGGTAACAATTTTGGAAAGTAGATAAGAAAAATATTTTTTTTATTTTTGTATGCAGCCAAAATTGTTATTTACCTAAAGCTATTTTTATGTGATGACCGAAGGTAGATCCACTTGAAGTGGCCTTAATTTTTCAATAAAAAATTTTGCTAT